ATAGTTCCGCCATGGAAATGAGCGGTGTTTGGTTTGTACTTGTAGGAATAGAGAGGATTGCATTCAGGGACATGGTTGCGACAATGGCAAACTGGAATAATAAATCAGCCACTGCATATGCGATGAGCAATGCAGGGATGATACGCCATAAAACGAGGAATAATATTCTTGCAGTAATAGCACATACTGTCGTAGGATAATATGAATGTAATCATTTCAGACACCGTTACTAAATCAACTACCAGCCAAATTGCTGTGAGAGATCCGAGTTGTATCATAAATTTACTAGTACCTTCAGCAGCAGAGCTGTATGTACAAGTCATAACAACAAATCCAACTCATCCTCCGCCATTCCCATCCCCCCTCCGATCGGATTCGTAGGTTTCCGCGCAGGTAACGGAGGCGGCATCGACATCGCACTGCCTAAATTCGTAGTACTACCGCTATTACTCGACATCGTACTAGTACGCGTCGGCGGTCTTGTAGGAAGTAAAGGAGGTGCCGGTAGCCCTGGTATAGGTACCGGTGCTGGAGGCGTCCGCCGTAAACTTCCTGCAGAACGTACAGTTCTCAGCCCAGGCACGTGGGTATGGGATAAGGTGTGTGAAGACGATGATGAATGCGAGGAGGATGTACTTGGATTTCGCTGCATCGGTACCGGCATCTGAGGCCTCGAAGATGTCTTTGTCGGAGTCCGTGTCGATGTAGTCGAGGTTGACGATTTCCGACTCCGTGTTTTGGTCTTCACCAGCTCGGTACTCAACTCTGCATCGATTCTCCACATCCCCTTGACGAATGCTTCACGGTCGATGGAACCGGTACGGGCTGGGTCGGATTGGAGCCTGTAAAGTGGGAAGAACGTTAGTTGAATCGGTTCGACGAAAACAAAGATTGCTCACCAAATCGCTCCCAACCTTTCGTTACCCAACCTCGACTTTGCCCATATGACACGTACGATTGGACCGGGAAGTTTATGGCTGTTAGCCTGTTCTCCTCCCGTATCTGGCGCCGCATCTTGCCCCTCCGGATCTGAAGTAACCAAATCAATCGACAAACCCCTCCATCCCTTGCGATCGCGAACTGAAGCGGGAGAGAGGAGTGCGGGCTTTGAACTCGAGGAGGAAAGTCCATTCAAAGTGAGGAGATTATAGTTTGCCAAATTGGCATCAAAGACTGCTTCGTATCGTTTTCGCGCGAGTGGAGGTATGGGAGTAGCCCGTGAGGAGCGATCTGGGGAATTTGAGTTGGAGTTGGGGGTCGATGAAGTGGGAAGAGCGGTAGGAAGTTTTAGGGCGGGTAGAGGGATAGGTTTATGAGAAGACGGCTGAGAAGGATGTTTGGGTTTATACGCCACATACGACGGAGGGTATCCGTTGCTGGGAGTAATTAAACTAGCTGTACTCGCTGTGCTGGCGATCGAAGATCGATCTGAGGCTGAACCGACAGGAGCAGAAGATGGAGGTGGCGGAGCAGGTCTCCTGCCAATGGATGAGGAGGTAGAGGGTATAGAAGAAGAGGACGAAGTAGCCGATCTGGTTGGGATTGGTGGAGGATTCTTCTGCTTCGTCTGGTTCCAATCAGCCGTTAACCGCGCCACAGCACCAGGACTACCAAATGAAGTCGTAGAATCGACATCTTCATACGGTTCTGATTCAAGAGATGCAGTGTCCTCTTCCTTTTCGGAAACGATAGCGATGGAATCCGTTGACAGGGATACAGAGTGGAAGGATGACACGGAAGATGCTGGTGCATGGTTTGATAAGGATGATGATGAGGTAGTTCTCGCTGGAAGCGGTGGCGCGAGTGACCCACCCAAGCCTACATTCACGTTGACCCAATCTTCTTCACTAGGTTCATGAGAACCGCTGCGGCCATTCAGCGTAGAATTTGGTCTCGTATTCGACTCGGACGGAAGCTTGGAATTCGATATGTTCGAATTTCTGGATGGTCTGGATGCGCTGCTATTTTCTGAGTGGGATTCAAACGCTTTTATTCGAGAGAGGACTGAGGATCCAAAGATCAAGTCAGAGTCATCTTCTGCCATGGATGATGAGGGTGAAGAATGGGTCACCCACGTGGTACCAAGCGCCGGCTGCCACTTCAGCGCTTCAGACGCAAGAATAGGCGCTCACATCAACTTGAACTATTTTGGCTTTTCCTTGATTTGGCTTTTCCATTTTGGCTTTTCCTTGAAACTTCTCCTTCCTTTCCGTAGCGGGAACTCTAGAGGCACCACACCGGGCGCCGTTCAGCACTTAGACCAGAGGGGAACTTCGATTGGTATAACTCGATCAAAATTCTCTGGGATCTGCAAACCTGTACACTTTCTTGACCATTTGCTCTCCGTTCCGTCACAGCTTGGACCCACGAACTTTTTCTCTTCAAGCCGGATTGAAAGCCATGCATCTTTCAATTTATCTTGGAACTTTTCATTGCAGATCAGCTGAGCTGCAGGAGGCCATAGGCGAGGTAATAAAGTCAATTCAAACTCGGAGCGGTGAATCGAGTTTCGACGCTTCTGCTTCTGGCTCGTTCCTGTGGTGCAATGAAAGGGTGCCATGAGTGAAATCACTGCCTCATACCCATCTGCAGAAATTCGTATCCCAGCATTATCTCCCCGTTCTCACATTACTTATACATAACTCGTATCAGAGTTGGCGACGATTATCAATGTCTCTACTCGAACTTGTCAATCTCCTTGCTTTAGGGCTATTCGTGTTCTTGGCACGTCGCGCTTGGATTCGTTCACAAACTCCCTTTCCACTTCCTCCTGGTCCCAAAGGATGGCCAATTGTAGGGAATATATTTGATGTACCAAAAGACAAGCAACTCCATATAGCTTACATGGAGATGGGTCGCAAATACGGTTTGTACTGCTTTGATTTATGAGGGTCAGGGTACCGATATCCCTAGGGAACGATTTGCTATACCTGAACATGGCTGGAACGTCATTGTTGATTCTCAACTCCGAGGAGGTTGCGAATGACCTTTTCGTCGAAAGGTCCACATTGTATTCCAATAGGTGAGCGGGTTTGGTTTATAGTTTCAACACCACTGACTCCGGTTTCGACTTTACAGACCGGATTTCCCGATGCTTTTCCTGTGAGTACGAGTACTGGCACAGTTGATAGTTGTGAGGATGAGGCGGGCTGGACCCATAACAGGTCCGTGCTAAGAGATGATCCCAAAGGGCGAACCTCGGTGGCGCGAGGGAGGAGTCAATATTATTTCCGCACTGTCGCTTAACTCACAGAATCCCTTAGCATGGGGTGGGAGTTCAATGTTGGGCTTTTTCCTTACGGCGATCGATGGCGAAGTGAGTAGGCATCCTCACAACCAGATTCCTGACTAAATGTATGGCTTTAGAGTCGCGAGCACTCTTCACACAGCAGTTCTCTCCATCGAATCTCAAGACCTTCCAGAAACCTCTCTTGCAAGAAAGTACGTATGTGTTCTTAAAGAAACTCCTCGACACGCCAAAAGAATTTGAGCATCATATCCGTTTGTGCGGTCCAAACTTCGGTGCTAGACTGTGTTGTTGATTTCACCCTGTAGTTTTACCGGCGGAACCATCATCTCTTCAGTATATGGTATTTCTTTCGATGATCCTCGGCATGAATCTTATCTTGCGCTTGCAAAACATATCAACCAAGCATTCGGGGAAGCTGGAATACCCGGGACGTATCTTGTGGATACCTTTCCCATGTTAAAATACATTCCAGAATGGTTTCCCGGTGCGGGATTTAAGAGGAAGGCGGCATACGAGAGGGGCTTTGTTCAGCGAATGTACAATGAACCCGTGGAATTCGTCAAGAGGAATATGGTATCTATCGTCTTCGGATTTCACATAGAATAATGCTGACCACAAGCTTTGCATGTGCTAGGCAAGTGGTACCGCCAAGTCCTGTGTTGTCTCCCGAGCGCTAGAGGAGATGCAGGATGATGGGGGATGGTCAGAAGAGAAGGAAGAGATAATGAAAATGGTTTCAGCGACCATGTATGCTGGTAAGATTTCAGATGAAAGACTTGGGAGTCGTGAAATAATTATCTATTCTTTCATAGCTGGAGCAGATACGGTAAGCGACTCTCAATCCAACTGTATTGTGATTCCGATTATTTAGACCTCTGCGACTCTCACCATCATCCTTCTCGCATTAGTCCGGGACACGGACATTATGAAGAAAGGCCAAGCTGCAGTAGAAGCGGTCGTGGGGCTTGATAGGCTTCCTGATTTTGGCGATGAAGGGAGAATTCCTTATGTTGATGCTCTAATAATGGAGGGATTGCGATGGAGACCTATCACGCCACTTGGTGCGTCTCTTGGCGTATTCTACTTGTGATTCTGACAAGCTATGCATGATAGGTGTACCGCATCATACGGTCAGTGCAGATACCTACAGAGGATATTATATTCCTGCCCATACCGTCGTTATTGGAAATACCTGGTAAGTATCAACGTTTGCTGATTTTTATTTCGCTATGACGCTTAGCACCCGCTCATTCCAGGGCATTCCTTCACAATCCTGATACCTACGGCGAAGACGTAACCCAATTCCGCCCCGAGCGCTTTCTCAATCCAGATGGAACACTCAATAGCAAGGTCCCCTACCCAGACGCGGCATTTGGTTTTGGAAGGCGCGTATGTCCTGGGAAGGCTTTCGCGCAGAGTGCGCTTTGGCTTGCAGTTGCTTCGCTTCTGGCTTGTTTCGATTTTGGCAAAGTTTTCGATGAAGATGGTGTAGCCATTGAACCAAGCACGGATTGCATTGATGGACTTTTGCTGTATGTCGTCTTTCTTTTTTGTACAGCTCCAGCTCACCTTTTAAGGCGTCCTCCTCCGTATGAATGCACCATCACGCCGCGGTCGAAAGCGATGGAAGGATTGATCAGACAGAGCTTCGAACGACACATTTGACTATCTCAATACTCAGTGTAAAGTTAATACCTCTTGATATTCTCCATATGTTATCATCATTCTGGCCATTGGCCCTGTTGACATTGCCCGCCTAGCTCAATCGGATAGAGCGTCAGACTCTTATATCAACGGGTTCTAAGGTGGCAATCTGAAGGCTGCGAGTTCGACCCTCGCGGTGGGCTACTTTCGTTTTTGGTCATAGTCCGACCGCTCTAAGAATTTAACCCCCTTTCTAAATACAACCTATATCCCAACTAATCATCTCTCCTTACCGTCCATGCTCCGACCAACTTGTGATTATTCCTCTGCTCCACGTTGAATTCACTACCAGGGAAAAACGAGGTCACCGTTGAGTTGAATGATTATTACCATTATAGTTCGGAACTGGGCCATGACCTAAACAAGGGATACCGAACTGCATACCAAGTATGATAAGAGCAACTTAGAGGAAGAAAAGAGCAGTAAACAGTAAACAGGAAGAAAAGCAAGCAAAGTGACTCAATTTTCTGACGGGATGTCAATCTGCGAGTAGAAACGGGAGGTCAGAAAGTCAAAATCGAAAACCCAAGGCAAGAAACCAACCTGAGTACCACCGCATCGTACCGCATCTTGAGTAGGCACCAACGATATATCGTATCATCGCTTTCTCTTTTTCTGTTCACAAATACATAAACTGACCTCCGTACCCTCCTCCCGCTTCGCGCCTCCTACCTCCAATGCATTTCTCACATCTTCTTTGTCAAAAGCAACTTTGCCTCACTCACCCATACTTTGGCGAGAGCGGAAGTGGCGAATTCAGAGAACATGAATGATTCGATGCCGATGCTCACTGTGAAATGCACTGAATTTGAAAGTGATGAGAGATGAGAGGTGAAGAGGTGTGGGGAGATGTAATTTATGAGGAATAAACAGACACCGATATGAAGATACTCACTATTGATAAACCCAATCGTCGGTTCCTCAATGTAGAACAAATCCAGGTGCAGTGCACCTCGTCTGCAACCTCCAATTGGGATGGTCTCATGAGATCCATCGTGGTATTGCGGTAAGAAGGGGAACGCGTATCGAGATCCTGGGAGGCTGAGGTTCGGCGCAGAGAGGAGAGAGGAGGAAGCCCTTACTCACCAGTAGCTAGTATAATCCTGTTGACAACTATAAATGAAAATCAGCGCGCGCACAACGTGAAAAGCAAGGCTTTAAGAGGCACGCGCATCGTTCCATTCTTCAGATCGACAACTCCCGTTCGTATACCTGAATCCGAATCAGAGTCATGATCAGGAGGGGATGAAATAATTTGATCTCCTCAACGATTGATACATTTCTGGATATTCTAGAGATACATCTTCCTTGTTTCTCGAAAGACGGAGTCTATGATGGGTGAGCGTATGTGGGACGACAAACGAACTAGGTTCACCTTCATTCAGCCTTACACCCAAAAACACGTTAATCTCGGCTGCGCGCGCGCCAGCGATATCCTCAGCAATCTCCGATTTGCTCACTAAACCACCTACGATCAGTACATTCTGGTTCGCATTTTAATTGGAAGTAAACTCCTCTGAACGACGATATTGCCTCGAGCGAGTTACCAAATAACTACTACTTCGCCGATTCTTCAAGGCCGGGAATTCATGGTACGTTAGGGGCGGAGAAACGTCCTGTGTCGATAATAATAGCATCGAAATCCTGCCAATGATGAATTGGCAGTACTTGAATAAGACCAAGTTGGTTGGGTTGTATACTAAGTCTAACCTCCGTTCACCATCAAATCCCACAGGAGGTCCCATTATGAATGAATTGTCGTAAGAGAAGGGTCCATCCAGCTTCGACTTTGGCTCCGTTGAAAAAGTTGTAACGCTTTTGGGCACTCTCAACGTGGGTGTTATACGAAGCATTGGGACTGTTGTCGTTACTGTTAGCTCCATGGAGGGATGCGAACGTACGGATGTAGCGTTGGAGGTGGTTTTGAGCTAGGGCTGAAGAAGAGAGAGAGAGGAGTCGTGGATACACCAGGAGCGGAAGCCTAGGCATACCTGTCTGGCCAGAGCAATTCTCTGATCTAGCAATGGCACGGTGGCAGAAAAAGTAAATCACCCAAACCTCTTGATTTTGCTCAACCAACATTAGCATCTAATCCACTCGTAAAGAATCTCAGTCAAACACACCTGTGGTACAGTAGACTTTAATGAGTACCAAATCGGCTTTGGTGCTCTACGGTCTTTTCTCCTCACATCTATCACTTCAGAATCAAGCCCGTCCACTGATTCTTCCTCATACGGCAATCGCAGTGACATGTTTTCTGGCGGGAGATGCGGTCGACAATCCGCGACAGAGGGATCAAGATTGGGTACAAGTGCGTTTAACGGGACTTGATCTGTGTAATGCCAGTCTTCGCCAGGTACAGAACCTCGTTCAAAGATGCGGATTTGGTACCCCATGCGAGCAAATTCGCGTTAGGCGACAAGACCACTGTTGGAGACCAAAAATCAGAATTGTAGAGATTACAGAAAGGAATAAAACGCACCCTGAGCCTGCGCCTACGATTGCTACTTTGTGTATCGGCCATTTGAATTGGTACTATGACTCGCCATTATCTTCAGTATTGTATTGGAAAAATTGGTCATCATGCATCCTTTTGAATCGTCCATGATGGAAGAAGGGATGCCGCTCCTAAAACTCGCGGAGGACCGATTCTTGTTGAGCCTAATACGGAAACGAAGGGCCTTGGATTTGAGCAAGATAAACTTGATGGCAGTCACGAGTGTGACCTCGCATGACTTGACGCGACGCGTCTACCATCTCATCTTCCTACTCGTTCCAGCTCGTTCCGAATCCCTGCTCTTAGTTCCAAGTTAATCTCGCTTATCCTTTTTCAAGCGCTTTAACTGCCATATTACGATGCGCTAACTGCAATAGGGCATAGACTTTCGTGACGTGGCAATTCCAGATGACCTCTCAGGCCTAGGCCCTTTGCAGACCCTGGTCGCGGTACCCGAGCCGGACAAGAATGGCCTTATCTCATTTATTGGTCTCCTATATGTCCATCAAATACTTAGACTGTCTCCAAATGCGGAATAGAAGGCAAGTACACCGAATTCGCTGCATTGCTAGAGGGATCTAAGAGGCCCTGAAATGCCCTGATAATGCCCTCGGACCATTAACTCTGGAGGTCATTTTCGGCGCATGCCAGCGATATTGGCCAGATTTTGGCGGTATAGTATCCCAGCGTGTCCGACATTTTCGGACAGCAAAATGGCACGGGAATGCACATTTCTCAATTTTGGTGGTGGTTGGGCGAAAGATGGCTTAGAGGGCATCAGACTTCAACCTCCAAAAGTCCAAAAGGATCGGAGCTCTTGGGGGACTTTCAGGCGCCCCCATCTTCGGCTAAGTTGCATGTCGTTCCAGTGTTTTACATAGGAATGCACTGAGCGAAACTTAATTAGACCGGACAGCGCGTTTCGGTGTGCCGCGTAGGTATCTTTTACGGACAATGGCAATGGCACCAGCTGAGATCACCATACTATATATCTTGATTTGACTAGATTCCCAGTCTTCCCTCCCTCCCGCCGCCACAGCTCATTAAATGTCTTCCTGGCAACTTATCAACCTCATAGCTTTAGCATTACTGATGCTCTTTGCTTGTCGTGTTTGGTTTCGCTCACAACATCCCTTTCCACTTCCTCCTGGGCCCAAAGGATGGCCAATTATAGGGAATATCTTTGATGTACCAAAAGAGAAATTCCACGTAGCTTATATGGAGATGAGTCGCAAATACGGTTCGTACTACTTTACTTTATGAGCTTCAGGGTACCGATATCCCTACCAGGGAGCGATTTACTATATCTGAACATGGCTGGAACGTCATTGTTGATTCTCAACTCGGAAGAGGCTGCGAATGACCTTTTGGTTGAAAGGTCAACATTGTATTCCAATAGGCTAGCATTTTTGGTTTACTTCTAGTTTCAAAGTCACTGACTGAAAGATGTTTTCAACTTTACAGACCGGATTTCCCAATGCTTTCCCTGTGAGTAGTGGTTTTCGCACAGTTCAGTGGTGGTTACGGGGATATCGCTGGGAGTTCTGCGCTGGAAAAAACAATCCCAAAGAGCGAGCATCGGCCGTGTTTGTGTTGAGGGCGAGCGAAGAGGATACGTTATTTGCTTTTCGTTCTTACAAATCTCCTAGCATGGGGTGGGATTTCAACTTCGCGTTTCTTCCTTACGGTAATCGATGGCGAAGTGAGTAGTTTCGCAGCGAACTATTATACAAGTTCAGCTTCCTAACCAGATGAATAATAGAGTCGCGGGCACTGTTCATGCAGCAGTTCTCAGCATCGAGTCTCGAGACGTGGCAGAAACCTATCTTGCAGGAAAGCATATACCTTTTCCTAAAGAAACTTCTCGACACGCCAAAAGAGTTCGAGGATCATATCCGTTTGTGCGTCCCAACTTCCAGTGCTAGATTGAGGTTAATTTCTCCCCTAGTCTTTCCGGCGGAACCATAATCTCCTCGTTATATGGCATAAGCCCTTTGAACAACCCTCGGCATGGATATTTCCTCGAGCTTGCAAAGAAAGCTAATCTATCTGCCTCGGAAGCTGGGATACCCGGGACGTATCTTGTGGATAATATACCTCTTTTAAAACATATTCCAGAATGGTTCCCCGGTGCGACATTCAAGAGAAAGGCGGCATACGAGAGGGGATTAGTTCAGCGAATGTACAGTGAACCCGTGGACTTCGTCAAGAGAAATATGGTAATGTATTCGGATCCGGGATTTTACATAGAATGATGATCACGAACCTTGTATACTAGGCAAGCGGTACCGCAAAGTCCTGTGCTATTTCTCGAGCGCTACAGGAGATGCAGGACGACGGGGGATGGTCGGAAGAGAAGGAGAATTTCTTAAAGATGGCTTTGGGTGCTGCCTATTCAGGTGAGAAAAAGTTCAGGCGTTGTACAAATCAATCCTGATTCTTTATAGCTGGATCCGACACGGTAAGCGTCTCTCAGTACAACTGGCAACTGCGTCACTACACAAAGCGACTGCGATACCGATCATCATACGTATTTAGATTTCTGTAACCCTCACCGTCATCGTTCTAGCATTAGTCCGGAATTACGAGATTCTACAGAAAGGAAAAACTGCTGTAGATGCGGTTGTGGGTCCCGATCGTCTTCCC